GCGTACATACCAGGAACCGATGAGATGCTTTTTCAAGGAGGTAACACGGGAGAGATAATGTCTGTCCTTGACGCACGGTATGACTCGCCTTGTCTTACACATTACAGGTATAGGGAAAACCTTCGAAAATTTACGGCCGCCAGATGGCAGTCACCAATCGATATTCCTATAGACGCACCGAACCCACTAAATAATCGGTAATAACTTACTAATTATTACTCCAATCTGGTTCAATATTTTACGGAATATTCTCAAAGGCTTACCCTCATTTCTACAAACATAAATGTTGACAATTTCTGCCTATTAAAAGAACAACATAATTCTATACTGGGCCCCAGTCACATTTTCTACGTCATCTTCTGACATCTTCTCGGAAATTAATTACGTTCTTCACTTAATAGGAAGAATTTGTCAACATTTATGATCGCAGAAATTAGGGTAGACCCTCAGGAATATTCCGTAGCAGTTTCAACAGGATTCAAGCAGTAATGAATAAGTTATTAGCAATTTTCGGAGAGGTGCACTGAATTCCGTGAGAACGTGTCGCGCCATCTATCGGGAGAACGCTGAAACTTCTGGTCAATTAGTAACAATTCCCTGACGCTAGATGGCACTACCAATCTCCTTTCTTACCGACGCAGCGAAATCACTGGATAATCGCTAATTAAGTTATTAGTTACTACTCGAATGTTGTTCAAAATCCTACTGCATGTTCTGGACAGTTTATCCTAATTTCGACGATCATAAATGTTGACAACTTCAGCCTATTAAGTGATGAACTTATTTATCCACTGGACCGCTATCAAAATTTCTACGTTATCTACTGACGTCGTCGTGGGTAATAATTATCAAATAATTAACGCGGCACAAAATCCCGTCGATTGCGATATAGGAAGGTACGGGATGGTTCGTTTAACTATCTTAAATTGCATAAGTTAACAATTCATTAGGAATAGTATAGATGATAATTAATTAACTGGTGATTTCGTTGATTTCTTCTCTATCGACATGATGCCTTTAGCTCTTAACTGTCGCCGCTAGATGGCAAACCCTCGGATACCTCCTTTGTCCTGATGCTTCGCGCGTACGTACCAGGAACCGATGAGATGCTTTTTCAAGGAGGTATCACGTGAGAGTGAATCTCTATCCTTGTCTTGCACATTACAGGTATAGGGAGAAGCTCAGAAAATTCTCAGCCGCTAGATGGCGCCTCCAATCGACATTCCTACCGATGCAGGGAACCCACCAGGTAATCGATAATAATTTATTAATTGTTACTCGAATGTGTTCACAATTTGTCCCTATTAACTGAAGAAATTGATTGTTAACTCTTCATCTATCAGGATATTCTACGTTACCTTCTGACATCGTCTCGGGTAATCATTAAGAAATAGTTAACGCGACACAAAACCTCTTCCGCTGCTAAACAGGAAGGGGAAGGTTCATTCTACAATTTTAAATTGCAAAGTTTAACAATTTGTTTTTGATAGTATAGTTGATAATGAAGTAGCTGCTGATTATATAGATTTCATCTCCATTGACATGTCGCGTTTAGTTTGTAGCTATTGCCGCTAGATGGCGCACTTTCGATTACCTCCTTAGTCTTGATGCTTCGCGCGTACGTACCAGGAACCGATGATATGCTTTTTGAAGAAGGTGTCACGAGAGAGTATTTGTCTGTCCTTGTCGCACAGTATGACTGTCCTTGCCTTACACATTATAGGTATAGGGAAAAGCATCCAAAATGCCCTGTCGCTAAATGGCGTCAGTGTCAATCGCAACTAAATCTGTTGCCCCTGCCTAACTGCAACCGTCTTTGCATGTACATTTAATGTTCCCTTGCTTTGCGTTACCTTTTTTATAGATTTCCATGGGGCGATTTCGACGTTCGACGGCTCAAAATATTTTTTATTACATTAATTACTTGGCAACTGTTCTTTACAGATATAATGATTATGTTACGGGTCTGTACAAATAAATACAAATAAATGAAAAATGTGTTCCTTTTTATTCTTTTCTCCCAATATTACATATTGGTATACGCACGAAATTTCTTATAGACATCGATCAGAATATAAAATGGAATTCACACTTTTCACGAACAATACAATACGAATACCAGAAATGAACCCACTTTACTAGCATAATGTAATGGACGAAGTTGGTATCATTTTTCGAACGATTGATTTGTATATCTGGAAAAACCAGGACGTTGTCCCATATAAGTGTTGATAATTATTTTCCGTCAAATTTCTTTTTTTTTTAATTACTAATCAGTAAACTGCATACTTTGGGTTTTCACGTTTGACATTTGCTCTGCTGTCGGTAATAAACCGATAAGGATAACTTATACAGTCGTCGGCAACTTGTCGACATTCGAGAGTAACCGACCGCCAAACTCTCCAGCTGATGACGCGACTCGGTACTTGTTTTGAGATATCGAATAACGCTGATACGACAAGGTTACGCCGTTCTCGACAACAGTTATTCGCTTCGTTAGACATGTCGAGGAGAGCAGACTAATCGTTGGTCTGAAAATAGTTGAGAAATATTCTATTGTATGGTTTATGAGACCGCAACACAGCTACAGAATTGCTTTCCTGACGTCTTTTATCGCGAGACTCGTATACTTTACGATAAAACACACAGATTTGAGCTACGTAGAGACTGTACTCTACGGACTGTACGAATCCGCGGAAACGCAATGGCGAACCCGCGCGACACCTAGGTGAAGTAACTGGTATAAATCAGTTGAATAAGTTACTAGGTGAAATGACCAAATACAGGCTATTTGAATGGTGTCAAAGTTACTCTCCTCGCGCTAGTAACTCGAAAACAGCATTCCCCGTTCCCTCTACCAGAGGAACTGCCCGCGGTTGTGTATACGAGCAGTTGTACGTACTGTCGGATACAATAGGTAAAAGTAGGTATGGTGAAGGTAACTTTTCGCGAGGGGAATATCACTATGGGGCGGCTCGCGAGCTCCCAGTTGGTACCTAATTCGGGCTACTACTACTACTGCTACTATTGCTACTACTAGTACCACTACTGTTGCTACTCGCCTAGAGCAACCAGAGCTTTCTAAATGAAAAAAAAACAGAGCGTCATGACTAGCTGAATTCTGTAGCGATCGTTTATCCAGGGTCTTTCGGTTTGCACCGTCTTCCTTTTATTCGACAACCCGCCGTTTCTGAAATGCTACCACTGCTCTGTCGCGATCGATCCGCGACACGAACATTCGTTCAGCCTATTTGGCAAACAAACGGAAAGTAATTTCGAAAAATTCGAGAAATTAGGAAAACCTAAAACCGCTTGTAACTTGAATTTTTCTATCCACCCCGCCGATTCTCTTATTCGTCTCGTTCCATCGGCATTCGTAGTGATAATACAAGAGACAGCTATGACAGAAATAGCACCGGAGAAAGTGACCAAGTTGCCGGAGGTGGCGAAGGTGGCGGAGGAGGCGGAGGTGGCGATGGTAGATATCGTTTAGGAACGTTAGGGATGAAGTTAGTAGGGACGTTGCTCTTGCCGTTGATCGTTGGACGATCAAGTAGAAGTTGGGCGACACGTACGTATACGTTCCCTTCGAAATTGTCCGATCAAAATTTCCTTCCTGGACGATGAATACCCTTCCGCTGATCGATCTGTTCCGTTTTCCAGTGAATCAGACACCGCGTTCAACTGTCGGTATCGATTGTTGTGCTGTTGTGCCGTTGTGCATATGAAACGACATGCCGAAAGCAAAAATGAGCTATATTTCAACGTATGAAAATTCGAGCGATTTTCGGTGCACGAACAGCATCGAAACGAGGTTCCAGTGTGGTAACTCGAACAGGATATCGCTCTGATGTATGATGACCAACAGTATGTCCATCGAGAAGGAAAGCAGGAGGAAATTGCTCGAGAGTGTGTTTCGCGCGATACTGACGACGAGATGGTTTGTCCTCTTGCTCGGTCTAATTATCGGATTCTGTGAAGCGGGTCAAACAGGTACTTAAATTCTATGTCTCGTGCATTTCATCGTTTTCTTTGTATGTATACAATCTCGTGTCAGTTTTCACAATGAACGGTAGTTTTGCAATGATAACACGATTCTTGGCATCTCGAGAAATACGCGAGAAACGAAACACGGAACTAAGACGACAATAAAAATGAAACTTTCGGATGGTATCTTAACCCTGTGTGACACGTTATTCAAGCATATTCGTTCGATACATCTATGGTCCTGACAAAACGGACGAACCAACATTCAAACTTGTATACATCGAACAAGGAAAATAAACAAGAAATACTTGTAGAGAGAAAGAAGAGAGAAAGGAAGAAAGAAAGAAATAGAGAACATTGTCAAATTTATTCCTCGCGATGCTTTCAAAAGGATAGAAGATAATATAATAAGCGGGCAGGCGAATTTCAAGGGAATAGATATTTTTCCGAGACAAATGTTTCCCAAGGGTCCAAAGCGGATCGATGACGAGGCGTCTGAACGCTTTTGAAAACGGTTAGACAGTGGATGATACTGTATCGAGCGTTCGATATGAACGCACCGAGCATGCGCGAAGAAATAAATGTAATTTGTAAGATTTTCCAAACGACACCCGCGTAATACTCGTTTTAACATAGGGCTGCAAAGGGTTAATAGATTTGGAGAATACATAAATCTGCGCGTTCGGGGAAACGAGCATCTATCTGTCCGTGTATTATTACTTTTACTAGTTTGCCGACCTTTGCGCCTTGGTATACGCGTAAAGACGGCCATTTGAAATCCGTGACTGAGACTGACCACAAACGAAACCGATTTCTAACAAGCAGAGGTAGTTTTACGGAGAACTGCGACTAACCGTTTAAACGAAAGAAATGATCTTTTCATAAAATGTACGAGTAAAACATAGTAGTGTTCGTTTATAGTTGAACGTATGAAACATTTTACGCGGTTAAAACGCGTAACGCTTTCGCTGACCTCCCGACTGCAATCGGTGCAAAATGATCTGTAAGAAGAAAAAGAAAATGTTTGCCGAATGTGCGTAGAATATCGGTCCGAGTGTACGTCGATGTGATTCATAGGTATGCATCGACTTACAGACGCGGACGGGTTACAGCAGAGCTGCAAACTCGAAGGCCTCCATCCGCTTTTGATTATTACTTACAAAAACATAACGATAGCTGTAAGTATCATGAAAAACATGTTAAAATATTATTATCGGTGGAACGATGAAACCGTAGAACGCGTTACAGTTGAATGAACGTGTTTAAACGTCGCGCATCTGGCTGCGTGCGTGTGTGTTGCTTTAGGTGGATAAGATCATTGTACCGCACGGGGAACGTGTGACCGTAAGATGCAGAGAACTTGGCAAATACAAGCTTATCGGTGATTCTCTGCTACATTGCCGCAATGCGAGTTGGAATGGAAAACTACCTTCCTGCGTTCCGACAACGGCCATTTCGAATTATACCGGTGAGTAAGCCGAACGATGGCTGTTTCGTGTCTATTTCAATGAAATCTCCCCTGGCGTATCCGGAACAACGTTCGTTGATCCGCTGCGTTCAGCGTAGAGACGATAAGTTGGTATGCGAATTCGTTGAACGTGTTACACGATTCGATGGAATCAAGTTCTCCTGATGGAGACGAGACCGATACCTGTGTTTAGTTATTCTCCTCTGATGACTGTTCGAGGAGAAACAGAAGACGTACCGCCCACGATCGTGTTTGGACTGCCAGCCGGCTCGGCTGCCGTGGAACCATCCGGTACCCTTGCGGTCTTTCCGGGGAGCATTCTTCACTTGGAGTGCCTTTTCGCCCGGAAACTTGGTAATCCGGAATGGACGTGGACTTCGACGTTTCGTCAGTACTTGACCGGTGAGTAAGTGCCGTCGGTGATATCGTGGGATCCAGCTGCGGTACGTTAATCGTTGATCATTCTGGGAAATGGGAATTTTCAATCATTCGTATACTCGTTCGCTTGGTATACGAGTCCTCGGCATGGGACTACGTATGCAGACTCGGGACAATCGGGAAAAGAACTAGCAGAAAATATGCAGAGATAATCGCGAAGCACCGAAACCCAACGAACATTGCCTTGTAGCGGTTTCCATTCGCTGCAGGATGGGCGATCGCCGCTCGAGAAAGAGACTGGAAATACCGGCTGTCCATATATTATGCGAAAGCTCAGGATTCCGGTGTGTACACGTGTTCCACACCCCGTGGATTATCCAATTCGATTCGCGTTCACGTTGTTGGTAAGCGTTGCTGTTCGTTTTTCCTTTTTGCACGGTAGAAGGAAAGAAGGAAGAGACGAGAATCGCTCGAGAAATAATAACAGCGAAATCTATGCGCCGTTCCAGACGTTCAATGCCCGATCTTGAGCTTGCCGGAACCACCGTTGCTCGGGAAAATTGAAGGTGCACGAATGGGACACGGAGCAGTGTTCGAATGCCCGGTCGGATACAGATTAGAAGGTGCTACCGGTATAACGTGCCAGTACAACGGTACGAGATCCGACGAAAGTGCTGCGGGTCTTCAACATTCTTAGAAACGGTTGATCGATCGTCGATTGTTTGTAGGTAAATGGTCCGCCGATATGCCGCGATGCGATACCATCGAATGTCCACCTCTGGACGCGATTAGCGATTCTTGGTTGCAGCTTCTCGAGTACAACAATACTTTTGGCGGTAAAGCCGTGTTCGCTTGTATGTGGGGCCACAAGCTTGTGGGTTCGGAAACTGTAGAATGTCAAGGAGACGGTTCGTGGAGCGGAGATGTACCGACTTGTGCTGGTAATCCCTGGTCACTTGCATTCTTTTTCCTTTCATTCCTTGTCCACGTTATACGGGCCTGTAATAATCGTTCCCCAGAAATTAGCTGCCCAGCACCATCGGTACCGGAAAGCGGACGCATCATCGAACAAACCCCTCGTCACAATTTGGGAAGTAAACAGCATCGCGATCGAGTACACAAAGTTGGCGCACTCGTTATGTATGCTTGTTTGCCGGGTCACCAACTGTTAGGCGAGTCTTCCATCATTTGTACCGAAAATGGGACGTGGTCTCACTCGTCACCAGTTTGTAAGTGTAGAAACAACGGGCTTCTCTTCGAACGAACGCGATTCTCTCCGCGGTTTGTACTGGGTTGGCTAACCTTCCGCGACTTGTTTCCAGGCAAAGTAAGGTGCCCTTATCCGGGTGATCCACCGCACGGACGAATCGCCCCTCTGAAATTTTGGTACAAGCCTGGCGACAATATACAGGTACTGGAAAGTCTCGAGGTGGCGCGCACATTTTGATCAAAGAAATTCGCTTCAATCGAATATTTCAATCAGGTTACCTGTCTGCCCGGATATGTAACTCCGCTGGAACCCGTCAGGAGACCAACATGTAGAGAGAATGGTATATGGAGTGCACCGCCGCCTCCCTGCAGATCGTACAAAGACGTTTAAGTTTAGATGATCGATCGATCGATTAACGTTCACGATGAGAAATATTTCACCGTGACGCTACGCATTCTGTCTCGAGGGCAGAGAATGGACCTACCCACGTGGATACCAAGCTCGCTCGAATTCGGTGACGCATCATATCCCGAACAATGTAAACATGCTGTGAAAGACACGCAAGATACATATCAATTGTAAGCTCGCTGACTCTTCCAACATGGTTCAGTGTTTTCGTTGGTATCGAAATTTTATTGACTGAAAGAAGGTCGAAAAGGTTGCTGGCTCGATACTATCTTTCCAAAGACTAAACTGCTTACCGGATACGATGTTTTCTTTTCGAAACGTCGCTGTTCGAATTGTAAGTATGTAAGTAAATAGATACAACTGATGAAATACGTGCAACGGCGACTGCTGGTAAAATCGTCTCGTTTCATTATTTCACTCTCGAGTGATTTGTTTTCTCGCTAACCTTTTTCCTGTCCTAACGAGCAG